CTCTTTTCAAGCCGCTACGCTTAACTTGAATTAATTTATACTAACTTGAATTTTCACTTGAATTTATTAACTTGAATTTTCACTAGAAAACACTAGTTTACACAGCCGACTAGTAGCCCTCGAGTTGAGTACGGATGTGTAGTGTTGTGTCGACGATTACGACAATTAGAATGCAACTTGTGTCGGCGTATGCATGAAAGTGTCTAGGTATATTGCGATTGGAAAGCACTCATTGTTGTCGGCATTCCAGTACTTTGCTTTATCTAGTGAATTACTAGAATAAACTAGATCTAACTAATCATTACATTTCGTATCCGATGAGACTGTGTACAATCGGGTTTCACCCACATAGGACGTGTCAATATTATAAAAGTTGGCTAGAAATTATCTCGATAGCCGATTAACATTTTTCCAAAAAAGTAGAAGTTTATTATACAAATCCACATTGACTATCGCCGTATAGTGTAACCAATTTACGACGTGCGACAAGCGTTGCTGTGTTTTTTGTGCAAGAGACATTATTCTGGAGGTCGATATCTCAAAACGCAATGAAAATTATTAATGTAAGCAAATTTGCTAGAATATGTATAATTTTATCGGTTGACACTTAATAAATTTACTCACATTTTTAATTTTCGCTATGTTTTAAGATACACAATAGCTGCGTTCAGCAGAGAAAGCTGCTTTGCAACTGTTATAAAATTCGCAAATCTGATTGGAGTATGCCCTTAATTTTGGTTGAATCCAAGAGCATGTATCAATCAGATTCACGAATTTTACAATTTTGCAAAGCAGCTTTCTCTCCTGAACGCAGCCATTCTACCCTCTGAGTGGGAGTTTATTACGGTTTTGTGTAAGAAGTGAAAATGCGAAAAATGAATGAATTTACTAGAATATTTATAATTTCATTGGTCAACATCTAGTGAATTCGCTCACTTTTCGCATTTTTACTTCTTACACAGAACCGTAATAAGCTCCCTGGTTTGGAGAATATTTAACAATTTTTTAATCGATTTTCTTCAATCCGATTTTTTAGCAAATCGATTTTAGTTAGTTTAATACGAAATTGATTCAAAAATTGATTTTTAAACTGACGATTTCCCATCCCTAAAAGGCTATGTGCAGAAATACTAT